TTATTATTAAATGCTTTTTTCTCTCTCCAAATAAATCTTCTCACTGATTTCAACTGTGGTACATATCACAGCTTTGGAGCCTTTATTATAAGCAGATAAAGGTGGTTTTTTTTTCGGATTGAAAGGCATAGAAAGATGGATCTTTGGACAGAAGATAAAGCAGAGTAGGTCAATAATATGGACCACCAAGGAATATAAATGAAAATCCAGGCTATGTCCCTCTCCAGAGCACTTGTACACACTTGCTGTCATAAAATTGATCAAGGCCTTGATAAAATGAAAAGCTCTAAAGAAAACCCAGATAAAATGAACGTGAAAATCCTTATTTGAAGGACAGCTAGGCCCCAAAAAACTCAAAAAAAAMCCCCCACCAACCAACACCCYCCTCCCCCCCAAAACCAAAAGAATAATTCCAGAAGGAATCATAAAATTAAAGGCTTTGGCCAGAAACCATTAAATGTGGGAACAAAGAGTTTCAACAATCTTCATGTTTTTAGCACCACACACTGAGTGAATCTCAGGTTCATGCATGTTATTCCATAGGAAAACCATGGATGACATGGAAAATAAAAGCTTAAYGGTGTTATAACTTCATAATTAAAAAGAGTATATTAAAAGGATTTGCTCCATCTTTATGTAGAGATTATATATATTTAAAATACTATTTGCCAAGTAAACATAATAAAAACATTATTCAAACAGCAATTAAGATRTCCTGCATTTCAAGATTCTTTTAGRAAGTTGCTTTCTCACTACACTGTTTTCAAGTATATCAGTCAGGTGAACTGGTCAGTGGTATAAAAAGCTTCTGGTTTTACTACTGCACTGTCTTCCCCACCCAGTTTCTCCTGGGCATCCAGGAGAACTCCTGCTTCACTGGGGTCTTGGATTTAGAAAGGCCACTTTTTTGTAGACAAAGGAAACTGCAAGCAGCAAGGGCTCCACATCCAGCCATGTCCTGGCTCAGTCAGAATCATCACCACAACCATCACTGCCTTCGAGATCGCTGCTCTTCTGCAAAGCAAAATGGGAAATGGTTTGTCAGTRTTGCATTTATGTCCACAGGCTGAACTCCATCAAAGATACTGACTTATAACCTCTCAAAAACTAAAAGAAAATAAATGCAGCTGTGACAATTTAAGCATTGTTTTATACAAGACCCTCAAAAGCTAAGTTTGTTACATTGTCTAAAGCCAGATTTGAGAATTTTGTCTGCTGCAGAGAATTTACGTCCAACCTGCACTGCAGATAAGCCAGAGCTCACTAACACTTGTTTAAAAGTGAAATCAGCTGCACAAAGTAGAACCAGGGGAAATACTACAAATGTTAGAAACTTAGAAGAAAACTGAAATCAAAGTTCTCTGGGAGCTACTCCTTCAGGAGTAGGTTAATATAGTGATATTAATTTGGGGGGCTTATGTATTTTTTTAAGCAAATATTTTAACTGGTATTACTGATACTGAAGGATTTTAACCAGGATTTTAACCATTACATGGTGTAATGTCTATAGACTACACATCTGTAGCCACTCCTTTTTYCCCCTCACCACCACTTGCTGAAAACAAACACCAAATCCCACAAATTTAACACTGGCAGTTTAACATCCTGCTACAAAACAAATTGTGACACACTCAGACAGCTGACTTCATACCAGCAAGCACAGCTCACTGAAGTGCMAACAGCCTGCAAAATCTCACCAGAKTCTGTCATATCATGCCTTATTTATCCTTCCCAGACAGATTGTGCTAACTGTGATGCCAAACCCGTACTTGGTCGGGTTTATCCACAGGGAGCAGAGCCTGTCCCCTGCCAGGAATATGACAGGGATTGGGATCCTGGCAGCACCAAGTACTGCCAAACATCACCAGGTAAAGGACTCTGACCCACGTGGTCTATTTGGGTCTCATTTAACCAAACAAACCTGGCTTTTGTTGTGACCTCCTGTCATAAACACCTCCCTCACAGCTCCAGAATTCAGACAAGTACAAAAATAACCCTGAGAAATTTATGGTATGTTGATTGTGCTGTTCAACAAGACTGYAAGTTTTATTTTATGTGTTTAAACTCTTCCATGAACTCGAGCAAAAAAAGGCAGAGACATAATTAAACCTAACATTCTTCAGCACAGGTTCATCCGCTACACAAAATAAAGCCAATTTTAAGGGACCTGTTAAATGAAAAAAGGTCATTATTTTCTTCTAYTGTTGCACTACAAAGAAGTTTTGGTGCTGCCCATCATTCATCCTTCAAGGATTTGCCAGCCTTCAATTGAAATTTCYTTTTTGGTAAAAATGTATTCTACATGTGTTTTATTGCACGTTACAGCTCACAGGAGTTCCTGTTGGCACAAATCCAATTCCACAATATCCCAGTTATTCTGTAGTGGTTCTGATGGCTTGTTTTGAGCTCATGGCAGACTTATTTAATTGGGATGGTCCTAAATTTCCCTGATTCCAAAATTTACCTGGCATCAGGGAATTATATAAAATGAAAATTAGCCCAAAATAATAAAATACAAAAAGCCAGCAAGTATTTAAAGCAAAATTGTAAACCTGAAACCTAGGCTCCCAAACATTTTCACAACAGCAAAGGCTGGCAATGTGTCCATAATTTCTGTTGCCAGTTTGATTATGCAAATTGCTTGTGCTTAAAGCTTTCCTTCCTCCCTTGTCATCTGCTCCCTGCAAAGCCCTGCRAAAACAATTCTTTGTACAATTTATTCCACTATCATCAAGTGCACAAAGACACAAAAGATTATACACATTTCATACTCCAGATGACTGTCATCTTCCACGGCATAATCATGAAAAACAAAAACGTTACAAAGGGAAGAGATGTTTCAACTTGACAGCTTCCATTTGTAAAATAATGGCTTCAGTCATTACCTTTGAAATTTTGTTGTTAGTTTGCATCTCAACAGCAGATGAGTTGAAGTCATGAATGGGGAGGGTGTTTAGCCAGTTTGCCATGGATTTCTCCTCCCTTTCTGTGTTGATAATGGTAGGATAGATGTACTGCTCTTTGAAAACAGCAATCTTCTCCTCCTCCTCTGTCCACTCCAGTGGCTCATGCAGCCCATCATTCCCAAAACGCCTGTTGTATTTTTCAAAGTGTACTTTCTCCAAAACCAGCCCAAGTCCTGGCGCTTTGGGGACATCGACTTTCTCCTCTCCCCAGCTGCGCTCCATGATGGACTCAGCAGCATAACCTTTCACAATTGCTATCACCAACCCAATCATCTTCCTGATCTGGTGCATCATGAAACTCTGCCCTTTCACTTTGATCACYGCAAATTCCATGTTTTCCCTGACGAAGGGCTCTCCACAGTACATCTCCATGATGTACCGCTTGGCACTGGGGTCCCTGGGGCCCTTCTGTGACGTGAAGTTGTGGAAGTTGTGCGTCCCTTTGTAGCAGGCCAGCAGTTTATTGACCCTTTCAAGGGTTTCTCTGTCCAGCCGATAAAGCTCTTCCTGCACATCATGGTCCTTATGGGCAAAGGCAAACGTTGGAAGCATGTAGGAGTAGGTCCTGGCATCACATTTGTTCTTGGAGTTGAATCCCCCCGTGACTCTCTTCAGGCCTGSATTTTAAAGTGACAGGAGGTTTTTKAATCGGTTACAAATTGATTGTGATCTCACTCCTACCAACAAGAATATATTTTAAACAAAAAATAGATTTGTTAAGAATACCTCAATTTCAAGCTAACAGAAACACATTAAAAACCGAACTGCTTGTATGTAAAATTATAACAGTAAGGAAGGGACCTTCTGCAGGAGAAAGCTTCTCTTGAAAACATCTTCTCTGCCCATTTCAGTGTTCTTACCCAGAATTCTGATGTGAGAAGGAAGGTGATTATTTATCTTTTCTAAGATGTCATCTATTAGCCTGACCTTCAGCGACACAATTTGTCCAGCTGCAGATACACCCTATAAAAACCATAAAACACACAAACCCACATAATCACATACTTTGGAAGCTCTGGGATAGCACTTGCAGAATTGAAGCAGATGAAGAAAAGTTTCTTTGTACTTTAATTTAACAGTGGACAAAATGTACCTTATCTGTGCGAGCACACCGTTGGAAAGACATCTTCTTCATATCTTCCCCGTGGTTTTCTGGGATGCATCCTGACTGAACAAGGGCAGAGACTAAGTCATCTTCAATTGTCTTGAACTGTGAAGATCCCACGTTCCTCTAAAAGCCAATGTGTAGTAAAAACAAGTGAACAAATAGTAGTAATTGGGTAATTGAACATCGCAACTTTGTTAAACAAACATTGCTATGAAAATCTTCMAAGGTTTTCCCTTCACAGCCTTAAAAGCCCTGCCATTCTCTAATAAAAATAACTATATTTTACCACAGAGTGTTAATAAAACATAGCTGTTACTGTTATGGCAAAAAAAGGCTCATTTTTAATTTCACTGYGCAATATTTCTGTATTTTTTTGACAATTCTAAATGCATGAAACAGCACCAATACTGTCCCAATGCCTCCAAGTTAACAGCTGCTGCTCCAAACCCAGCCTGTRCAAATTCTGCTTCTAGAAATCAGACTGGGTTCTTTTGCTCAGTTCACCTGATATGCCYATAAGCATGAGGTTTACTGCTGGTAAACAAATCTACTTTGTTGCATAAGCATGAAAGACTCTCTTCCCTGTCTACGTGCAAAATTGTCACTTATCCCTTGGAGCTTTTGAAGAATTCCTTAAGCGTATGAAGCTTGCAGTACGTGGAGAGGAGCAGTAGATGGAGCAGGATCACCCTCTCACTGCCAGCTCTCTGCTACAGACCACCCTGCACAGGCAAGTCTGGTGTTGTGACAAAGCACTATCCCTGGAATCATCAGAGACGCAWCACTGACTTTTTAAAATTAAGTTACTACCAAGCCATTTGAATCCATTCCTACACTGTTCCTGCCCCAGTTTTTCACACTGCAACTGCTGAAYTGTTTCCCTACCCAGTCACTGTGACTACAGTTATAAACCTAAGAGACTCCAAAACAAAAATTAAACTGGATATGTTGCTTTGCAAAACCACTTACTTGCATCCCATGGTAGCCCTTCCCTGAATATGCCATCAACAGAACTATCTTCCTTTTGGGTGACTTCTTATTCTGATCCTCTGCATCTTCCTCATCCGCATCACTCTTCAACCTTTTGTTTTGATGCCCGTTTTCTTCCAGCTTTTGAACTACCTCGCTGCTGCTGCTGTTGAGTCTCTTTGTCTGGCTGGCAACCGCTGCTTTTAAATCCTCAGCCATTCTAAGAACCTGCATGGGACGAGCACGAACGGCATAAACTTCGGGCAGAAAGCGACCGCTCCATCCCCCGGGGCCGCAAAAGGGCACATGAACGAGTCGAAAGCAGGAAGAGCGAGCACCCTTGCTCCCCACTAAACCGCGCCACCATTCCCCGGAGAAGGGAGGCAGGGCCCTGCGTACACCCAGCGGGACCCGAGGGGCCCACCCGGCCTGACCCGTCCCCAGAGCAGGGCGGGGCAGGGCAGGGCCCGGCGGTACCCACGCTGCGCTGCCGCCGCCACGGCCCCGCACACGCCGCGCTTCCCGGAGCGGAGAGGCCGCAGCTCACGACCCTGAGCCCCCACCGCAGCATCGTCCCCGGATCCGGCGGGCGGGAGAGGCCGAGCCCGCTGCCCTCAGCCCCTCGCCCGCCGCCACCACCGCCACCGCCACCGCCACTTACGCGGGCGCTGCGGAGCGACGCCACCGCGCGGGGCTCACACGTGCGCCGGCTACGGCGGCCGCGGAGGGACACGGCGGGGAGCGCGAAGGCAGCGCGGCGCTGTGAGGGCAGCGGGGCGGGCTGAGGGAACCGCTTTCCGTGCGGGAAACCGAGCCCTTCCCGGCAAACTGAGCCCTTCCTGGCAAACCGAGCACTTCCCGGATCTCCCTCTGCAAGTGAAAAGGGATGAATGCCGTGTGGATCCAGGGCTGAGCATTGCTCTGCTCAGTCCCACCGCCCGCACACGGGCTTCCCCGCAAAAAGTCTGTCACATTRTTAAGTCAAGGAAAAGCAGGGAAAAGGCAAACTAACAAGCACATTCTGGTGGTACATGGTGGCTGTGTAAGTAAAGCAGCTGGTTTTTCCCTATCTATGGGAAAACAGGCCCTGACAGCCCTGCAGTGCCAGTGAGGGGAGACAAGGCTGAGGGAAGAGTTCACCTGGCACCAGATCTGCCCTGAGAGCTCACGGTTCCCTTCCCACAGGGATGTCACACCGCTCTCTCCCTTTCCCACACACCTTCTGTCTATGCCAGTGTCAAGTATGGGCTGCACTTTCCCTCAGGTTTTCCTCCAGCCGGCTTTCTCAGGCAGTCCTTGCTTTGTACAATGAGTTTTATCTGCACTGATGCACCTCAGGGGAAAGCTGAGCACAACAGGAGCCTTCACCAGGTTGCACCATGCACTTCCCAAAAGCCCAAATACACCTGGAATAGGTTTTTGCTCCTGGTACTCTGTAGAATGGATCTTCCCGCTGAAGATGTGGGTTCCCTGGCGCGCTGCAATTGGTGTGGGGGAGCTCCATTTATCCATTCAGATGAAACATGGAAAGGTTGACAGTTCCAAGCAGGCCAGATTATCACAGGATTGTTATTTCGGCTAATAAGGGGAAGAAATGCASCACGTCCTTTCTTGAACTGACACTTCTGAGTTATTTCAGGAGCGGGATGGAGCAAAGGGAAGATTTATCACAGGGTCCCAGCTGCACTTTGTTTAGAGAAGTGATAAAAGAWGGCCCATCACAGTGCAGCGCTGCTGCCAAGGGAAACAGGAATACAAATTTCTCTATCACTGCAACCAGGGTGTCTGAATCTTTTTTTGCCTCATTTCCTTAGGAAGYGGAGCTTATGCAATTTCACTGTGTGTCCACCACATCCCTTCCTCCTCCTCCCCTGCCCTGATTTCTGAGTTTGGCTCATTTCAGTAAATTTGAAAGAGGGAAGAAGGCTCCAGTCAATATGGAAAACAGTGATGGGATAAGACTTGTAAAGATGAGGGAAAAAGTTTTGGTAACCCAGCTCCTTACCCATTCCAAAAGCAGCCAAGAAGCTTCAAAACCGGCAGCACAAGCTCTGCTATGAACCTGTCACAGCACGTGCTGCCCCTTCCTTTTTAACTTACCTATTTTATCTTTAAACGCCTATATATAATCTATCTATTTTATCTTGCTACCAAAAGCAAGGAATCGAAGTGACCCAGTAATAGAAGCCAAAGCTGCCGCTGCTGAAGAGTCAGACCCCGAAGGATGRGGAGGCAGAAAGGTTGCAGGACATGAGTTTGCCATGTGTTTTGAGGAAGTTAATTTAATTTTTATCTATGTCTCTTCTCACCCCACAGTGCGTGCAGTGCCCGGGCGGCTGCCGCCTGCAGATGGGGCTCTGGCAACGCGAAGCCACCTCCGTGCCGTGTCCTGGGAGCACCCACAGCCCTGGTTCCGCCGCTGTCCCYTGCCAGGGCACCTCTGGCACGCAGCTCCCACCCGTGCCAACCCGGGGACACTGCGGGCTGTCCCCTCCGGCTGGCAGAGCAGAGCCCATGGCCCCACTGCAGCTGGCTGTCCCCTCCCTGAGCAGCCTGTTCCTGCTCTGCTGTGCCAATGTCACCCCAACAACTTYCTCATCTTCCTCCCCAAGGCCTGCTTTGAAAAAAAGGACATGTTTAGTCCAAGAGGATTTGCTTTAAATTCACAGAGAAATAAAATTTCTTTTAAATCAATGAAAAAGGCTCCAAGGAAACACTGTGTTTTGATGGACACTTTCTTCCAATAGTTCTCTGTTAAAGGGAAGAAAAAAACTGCAAAACTGATCTTTCATGAGTTTTAGGGCTTTGCTGCACAGCACTAGAAGTTCAGGAGATACCAAACGTTGTGGTTAAAAGACATTACCTCCATGCTGGGAAGTGGAGACATGCTGTTCTGCAATGGACAAACAGCATCTTAGCTTCTCCCCAGCAGCTGTGTATTGGGCATTAGTTGGAAACGTGAAGAAAAATGGTGCACATTTGGGAATTCACTTACCCTGTGTCCATGATAAYGGAAGAAACTTGAGTTTGACATTTACTTCTGCTCCTTCTTAGAAATACACTATTTTTTTCTGAAAGCATTCAAATCTCTTGCCAGGTTCCAGCTCCCAGGAGGGGGGGTGGTTCTCACTCTATTGTCCCTAAAAAGGCTGTTTTTAGAAAGATATGTCCCAGGGAAGTTTGTATCCCTGCACKACGTGGCATTCCTCACCAAGGGAATGGCACCCATCCTCAGTGCTACATTTATGGTAATAAATCTAAACAAATCCAGCTGCTGGCATTTCTCTGGGGAGCATTAGCTCCTGCCCTGCAGAGCTGTGCCAGGGTATTGTCTCCCTGCACACAACTCTTCTCCTCCTTCAGCAAAACCCCTCTGTGGAGTGAGGTGACCATGGGTGACAATGGACCACTGCAGAGAAGGCACTATCACGTTAAACACCAGAGCTCAAATGTGCTGTGAAAGAGTTAACTCCTTGTGAAAAAAAGCTTGACAAGAGCTGGAAGCGGAATAATTGATCTTTGTATGGCCTTGGTTCAACACACACCCACCCTTTTCTGCTTCCTTGATGTCACTGTCACCCCTGATCTTTCAGAGTTGAATGAGTGTGTTTTTGCTGACGTACTTACCAACAACTAAATATAAAATGCAGGAACAAAGCCAAATGCCTGGAAGAATTGCTCGGGTTTGTTTTCTCCTAGAATCAACAGCAGCMTAACGTCACAGTCAACATCTAGAAAGTTGTGCAATTTCCACTGGTGCTTTTCAGCTGTCCAGGCCCCATGGTTCAGTGCTTTTAGAAGAGACTGTATTTCTGTTGTTTAAGTTTTCCCAGCTAGCACTTTCCCCCTCTGCTCTGCTGCCTGTGAAAGAGTCCTACGGATTCAGCACAGAGTTCTCTATCCACACAGGCGTGTGGCACACAATGATCCTCTTTCATTTGGCTACAGCATTTTCACCTGAACCTTTTAAAATCTTCATGGACAGCTTTGAAAGAAACCCCCTTCCTTATCCTCAGCATCAGAAACGTTCGCATGTATATATATTCTGTACTACTATCCTGTGCTGCAGGGAACAAATATACACAAGGTTTTTTCACAAAAGGGGAAAAAATGTTTTAAAAAAGATGCCAACAAAAAAAAAAAATAAAAACCCAAAACCTCAACAAAGATCCAAATGTGCTGAGCTGTCAAACCAACAGCAGAATTTATAATTATTTAGCTCTGACCAGTTTTCCCAGGGCTGCTGTGGGGTCTTACTCGTTTTCACCACACAGAAGTGCAGTTTCTCAGAGYTGTCCCCAGCTCTGCAAGGAGAAGGGATCGACTGTCCCTGCATGTGAGTCAGCATCAGCAAGAGCCCAGCACTTCCAGGCAGGACCGTTCCCACAGAGCAATTCCCTGGTGTGGGAAAAGCAGGGGCAGGAAACAAGAGGTTATAAACGGGACAGAGCAAGAAAAAAAAACAATTCCAGATCATGGTAAATTGTGATTTTGAAATAAGATTATTTTCTTACAAAAACAACACTGTCCAGTAAGTGTGAGGTGATGCTGCATCACACAGGGACTGGTGGGCAGGACTTTCCCCAGTGATGCTCATGGGCAACAATAACAGAGWGTTCAGCAACTGGAGTTTTGGGAAACTTTTGGTGGAATTACACTATTTGGCTCCTGAAAGTTTACAGCTGTGTTGCTGAAATTACTGCAAGAGTGGAAAGACTGGACTAATTAATTCAGCACCCCTTCCACATCCCAAATGGAGGGCTTAGCTTTTCCTTTTCCTCCTAGAGCATTCAAAAAGTCAAGCCTGGTAGAACCACACACATTATAAAGACCTCGCTCATATGCTCCATGAACTGGAATCATAAAGTACTGAAAACAGGCCACTAACAATTTCAAATCAATTTTATTTTCTTAAATTGGTGTTGTACAATTTAAAGCAAAAAAAAAAAAAGTCACACAAAACACAAATAAAAAATGTTGACAAAGTATCAAGCATTACCTTATAAAGAACATCATCATACGCTCTCACAAACCTGAAGGTACGTGTAATTAGACTGAGGTTTCTTGAAATCTATTAAAGACGCCAGACACAAACGCTGCAACAGCAACAAAGCCATGACAATAGCAGGTGGACTACACTAGCAACTTCAGCGATGGTTRGGGGTTGGTTTTTGGGGTGTTTTCTTTCTCTTTTTTTTTTCTCCTTTTTTTTGCATACCTTATTGTCTACAAAGCAATAAATATTTTTCACCAAAAAAGTTGGTTTCACGCTACATGCAGTTAGATAAAAAAGAAAGTCACCAAAGTGATGGCAAAATAATCACCTGTCAGATTTTTCTTTTTTTTTTTCCCACCCCTATTTTTGGGGTTATTTTGTGTGGGGTTTTTATTGGTTTTTTGTTGGTTTTTTTCTTTTTTTTTTAATTCAAGCACAGTGGCTAAGTTTCAAGTATTGAGAGAAAAAAAAAAAACATATATATACACGTTTGTGTTTGTGTGTGTATCTCTACCCATGCACACACATACACACACACAGCCTTGCATGTATATACACAAACACATACATATATATCGCTTGTAGGTCTGTAAACCACAATTCTTTTTGGAGCAATATATACTTGTATACATTGAATGTGGACGATTTTGATACATTCAAGTAATTGAGTACAGCTGGAAGGTTAGTGCTGAGCTTGCCACACACACACGGCTCACTAGGGCGCTGCAGAGACGTGGATCCCGGGCTGGGCCCCTCCTTGGCAGGAGCCCCGGGGGCTGTGCAGAGGCTCCGGGGTGCA